GTTGCCTTTGCTTCTTCGTCAGAGATCAGGTGGTCATATTTATGGGGGTCTATTTCTGGGCTCGCTGTTCTCTTTCTCTGATCTGTTTGTCTATTCTTTTGCCAGTACCACACCATTTGGATTACTATAGCTTTATAGAAAATCTTGAAGTTGGGTAGTGTAAGTCTTCCAACTTTGTCCTCCTTCAATACTGTGCTGGCTATTCTGGGTCTTTTGCTTCTCCATATCAACATTAGGATCAGTTTGTCAATATTCACAAAATATCTGCTGGGATTCTGATTGGGATTGCATTGAATTTATAGATCAAGTTGGGAAGAACTGACATCTTGGCAATATCGAACCTTCCTATCTATGAACATGGACTACCTCTCTACATGTTTTTAAATTCAAAGAAAAATAACAGTTACCAAAGGCAGTTTATGTTTTATAACTTCAAAATTAAAATTTCAAAAAATTCTACATTTTTGGGCCGGCCCGGTGGCGCACTCGGTAGAGTGCGGTGCTTGGGAGCACGGTGGCGCTCCCGCCGAGGGTTCGGATCCCATATAGAGACCGGTTCCCGCTCACTGGTTGAGCGCGGTGCGGGCGCGACACCGAGGGTTGCGATCCCGTTGCTGGTCACGAAAAAAGACAAAAAGGAAAAAAAAATTCTACATTTTAACTTCTTCACGATTTTCCCAGATAAATATAAATATTTTATATACTGGTTATGGAGCACTAGCTCATCAGTGTTCTCAGAGGTCAAGGTCGTTCCATTTTCTCCCTTCAGCAGTGCTGCTGTCTTAATATTCAGTAACACAAAGGTTCAGAGAAGAAAATAGAGCACTTAAACAGCATGCAAGCTCTGTCTAAATGGACTGTTTGTCTCCGCATCAGGTTTCAACACACAGTCATTTCTTCCTCATCTGCCTCTGGGCTGTACCAGAATGAAATTTTGCTTTATTCCCCTCCTTTTATCTCAGGAGTTGGTAGATGGTGACAAGGCTGGATTACAGTAACTTTGAGGTCTAAGCCTAGACCTGTGATCTTTTTTCCATTTTTTTTTTTCAGGCCACTTGAGGCTGCATGCAGCGATGATGGGCTGAAATCTCTCTTAAGGAAGGGCACTCCTTAAATTTCCTTAACAGTGAACAGAATTCTAAACGATGCTAGCATTTTTGAAAACTGAGAAGTACCATTTTTTCACAACCTTATTTCTGTTATTTACCACGTGCTCTTATAATTTCTTCGTATGGTTTAGCTTAACTAAATGTGGAGGAGATAAACACTTAAACGTCAGTTCACAATAGTTTCTTTCCGTGAAGCTTTCCAGTTTTGGAAGAATTTCTACCCTTAAATCTTCCCTAATCCTAATAGTACAGGGTGGTTCTGCTCTCTTGCTGTATCACATCCCTGTGTCAGGAACATTCAGTGAGATTTGCAGTGATTTCTCAGTAGGTGTATAGAGAGAGGCAAACCCATTAGCCACAATATGTAACTTGAAAACATTCTTGTTCATTGATCCTTTCCGTAGATTCAAGCTGTATCCTGCAAAGTCTCTGTCCATCCCTAAGAAAAGACCATCCTTTCCTCCCACTTATTTTTCCACCTTCTACACACACACACAGCACACGCGCACACACTCTCACACACTCCGTTCCCTTTCCCACCCTCTCTCTCCACCTCTCCCTACCACATTCCTGGGATCGATATGTGAAAGAGTGGAGAGGATAGTCGAGGTAGGGCTTCCAATCTATTCTGCCCCAGCTCTCTCTTACTATGCCAGTCAGTCCTAAACATCTATCAGCTAAACCTGGAAAATGACACAATCTTATTATGATACCTATTATGTTCTTCTCTAAATGGGGAAAGAAAGACTTAGAAGGGGATAAATAACAAGACAGCAATGAAGTTTTAAGCTGTAAAGAAGCAAGCAGACAAAGAAATCCACTTAATTTATTTTCATATTTTGAGTTCTAAAATATAATAACTTGTGGTAAACTTTGTTAGATTCTTTAGTGAACAAATTGTATATTCCTTACACCCTTATAGAGCCATATAAGGTCAGATAGAAGGAATTAGGGGGCCGTAAACCAACCCTACTATGTAGCAAAGTTAAGTAGAAATTTCTAGGGAAACAAAACTTTTATGTTGAATATTATCATTTAAGGTGGAGTAAAAAAATATTCCTTCTTGACCTAGATCTGGCAAAGGAATGGAAGCTTTAAATTCTAAAACGGTTGTATCATCCCAGGCCTTCTATCCATCGTGTTCACAAAGGAGCTCTAGGGGAATCCGAGTGCTTTGGGAAATGAAATTGTTGATTCACGGATACCACTTTTCTGAGTCATTAACCACACACTCTACCCCACCCTGGACTTTGGAGATGGGTTAGTGAGTTCACACACAACTTTTGATGTCTGGACCTTTGGAGAAGCCAACTTTCTTGGCACTTTATATGTTCTTTGGAAATATTTCATGCCAAGTGCCATATTGCTTTGATTAGAGTTCACTCCTGAAACTTCATTTTCAAAGAAAACTTCCTCTGATTCTTGAATTTGGATGAGGTCTCCCTGGCAAGTCAACCTCATAGTTTGTTTAATAGACTACGTGATTTAGAGAGTTACATGGAATTAGAGTCATCTTACCAATCATAAGGGGGAAAGTTAAGGAAAAGGTTTTTTTAAAAAACTTTTGGCAACTTTTTATTTTGAAAAAATTTAAAACTTAAGAGAAAAGTTTCCATAATAGACGGGCACTCTCGTATACCCTTTATCAGATCCACCAACTGCTGACATTTGCTCCTTTCCCCCATCCCTCTCCCTCTTCTTTCTTCCACCCTGACCTGATTTCTCTCCCCCATCTCATATATATAAACACACACATACATATTTTACCTTCCCCAACCATGTGTAAATAGTTTGGAGACATCATGCTCCTAAGTCAAAGATATTTTCTTCCATAACCACAGTACAGTGATCAGGATGAGGAATCTAGCATTGACACAATGTTTATCTAATTTACATCCTTATTCAGATTATGTCGGTTTTCCCCAGTAATGTCCTTTTTGGCCCCCACCCCATCTGGGATCCAAGCCAGGATCACGCATTGCACTTAGTTGTCATATCTCTTTAGGGAAAGGTGTTTAACTAATTTAACTTCTCAAGGGTCTCAAAATCACTTCTGGCTATGATGGCTCTGTAAAAGGAATGAACGCTGTAAAAAGAAGATTCATAAATTAGACGATGGGAAGCCCATGGTCATGGCTTAGACCAAATTTTACCAATGCAAACCCGGTTTTATGCTGCAGGGAGGGAGGAAGTCCCCTTTCCTTGGTTACCCTCCATCATTTCAGGGCATTAAGAAAATGAACTGTGCTAATCTCTGCTCTCTTCCTGCCCTATTTCCTGTTGGTCAGGGAGGAAAGCTAATTTGCCATAGTGGGATGGAAAGTTGAGGAAGAGAATCCCTGAGCCCCTAGGATGTACCTCCCCTCAGGGCTCAACTAGTCCTCCCATTGTGTCCATGGAAGGCCTCGTGATCACTTTGATCTAGCTTGACTGCTTGTCCAAGGGAAACACCTTACGAAGGAAGAGATGCTGGAGAAATGGCCAGCAGCAGTTAGGGAGTGTCATTTGTAGTTTGAAAGCAAATGCCCCAGCAAAAATGGCATTCCTCAGGTCTTTGGGTTTTTTGGTGGCTGACCAGTACAGGGACCTGAACCTGTGACCTTGGTGTTAAAAGGCTGTGCTCTCACCAACTGTGCTAACCGGCCAGCCCTCCTCAGGTCTAAGAAGATGCTCAGGCAAAAGCCAAAGGGCAGATGCAGGAGGCATCGCCAGTTGGTTTCCAGAGCCCCTTTCATGGGAAAGACCTCCAGGAGGACAGCCGGGGGAAGCTCCTTCTGCTCTGCGGGGGATGCTTTTCTGCCTTCCTTCCTCAGCATTAGCTCCACGGCACCTGGTTCTCTGACCCTCCTTCTTACCCTGCCCCATGCCCTGCCGTAGAGAGGGGTTTTGTAGCACAAGGAGGGATGCATGAAGGAGGAGGAAAGCCCACTCCACCCTGCCGACGTTTGAGGACCCCACCTGGTATGGCCTCGCGACTGCCATCTGCTGTTCCTCTTGGCTCGCCCTGACGGCCTTGAGCCCTGTCCTCTGCCTCTGTTCCTGCCCCTCTTCCTCCCACCTCAGCCCCCTCACCCTGTCCAGTCCCATCCTGAGCTCCTCTCCCTTTTCTGGTCCCCTCTTGTCCCCTCTAGCTTCTTCCCTTTACTATCTACTCCATCCCCAACCACAGGCCAAAGGAATGTCACCAGTGGCTTAGAAATTGAAGAGGCAGGTATCTACAGAACCCCAATTAGAAACTTTTCAAAGTATCAAGTAGAAATGTCATTATATATAGGTTACGTCTATAGTACAATTCATCCTCAATGTCAGATATGTTATGGCTTAAAGTCACTTCCAGGGGCTGGCCTGGTGGCCTAAATGCCCATATAACATCATTGCTGTAGGAAAAAAGCATGCCGAGTTCTAAAACCTTCATAGTAGATCTCATTCCTCATCGGCTTTCACTAATTTGTAATTGACCGTGGTCCTCATGAGCTTACACGGATAAAGTTTTCTAGATTGATCATGTTCTTTGTGGGCATATATAGATAAAACTCCCAATTAACTGAGTTACCTAGATGGGTAAAACTGAGCAACTTGAAAACCCTGTAAAGTCCACGGCATGAAGACAATCTCTATTTTAATTTGCTTATTTTTACAAAGGATCGCTTTGGTATGCTAGTGTTCCACATGAACAAGTGAAAGAACCAAAGTTTTAACCTAAAGTTGTAGTGGTGTTTGTGGAGATCTGTAACTCAACCTGGACACAGGAAGCCAAACCCATTTCAGACAGAATATTTTTGAGCATCTTCGCACAATGTATTACTACTCTTTGTTTGCTGGCTACAAGCTAAAATTCGTACCTCTATTATTTCTCACTCCTATTTGTTCTTTTGTACATTTTGTAAACAGCGGGTCACAGAAAGTCGAGAGAGCCAAATGACCATTGAGGAGAGGAAACAGCTCATTACTGTGAGAGAAGACGCCTGGAAGACCAAAGGCAGAGGAGCAGCCAATGACTCCACCCAGTTTACTGTGGCTGGCAGGATGGTGAAGAAAGGTCAGAGAGAGTGCGTGTGTGTGCATGTGTGTGCGTGTGTGCATGTGTGTGTGCGCATGTGTGTGTGCGTGTGTGCGCATGTGTGTGTGCATGTGTGTGCGTGTGTGCGCGCGTGTGTGCGTGTGTGCGCACGTGTGTGCGTGTGTGTGCGCGTGTGCGCACGTGTGTGTGCATGTGCATGTGTGTGTGTGCGTGTGCACGTCCACACAAGCACGCTCACCCATGGAATTAATGTGGTATGTGACAGCTCAGTTTTAAAAAGATAAGCCATGGTCTTTTTAAAATTTTTACATGTACCAATGTTGTATAAATGGTTTTGGGGTAGGTTATGTGAGATATTCCTGCTGAATACTTTTTCTTCATAAATAGTCAATTAGTGTCATCTTCAGTGTAACAAGCATAATTCAGGTTGTCACAACTTCAAAACTTACCCATTTGGAAACTGAGTGCAGTTGTATGTTTCAAAAGCAATTGAAAATCTGGTAACAAATCTTGGTTTTTTCTCATAGTATTTTTAAGTACTTATTTATTCATAAAATTTATTTATTTTATTATACATACATGTGGGGTACAATGTTGATTTGCAATAATTGTGTTCAGTGTGTGGTGGTTAGATGAATATAATTAGCTTACTCATCATTACAATACACAATCATTCTTTGTGTCCATTGACCAATTCCTCATTAGCCCCTCTCCCCCCGCCCCTCCCCTTTTCCACCTCTAGTTTTCTAAAAGTTCAATGTATTGCTGTGATTGTTGTTTCTTTCTTTCCTTCTATCTCTCTTTATTGTTCATTTGTTTATTTATGGATTCAGCTCCCAGTTATGAGTAGAACATGGGGTATTTCTCTTTCTGTACCTGGGTTGTTTCACTTAGAATAATTTTCTCCAGGCTTATCCATGTTGCTGAAAATAGCAGAATTTCATTCCTTTTTATGGCTGAGTAGTATTCCATTGTGTATATATACCACAATTTCCTTAACATTCATATGGAACAACAAGAGACCCCAAATAGCCAAAGCAATCCTGAGCAAAAAAAAAGTAAAGCTGGAGGCGTTACACTTACTGACTTCAAACTATATTACAAATCTATAGTAGCAAAAACAGCATGGTACTGTCATAGTTACTTTTAAACTGTTTCTGTTTTCCTGTGACCAGGCAACCAGTTACCCCAAATAAGCCTTTTGCAATGAAGAAGTTTATCTCCTCTCCCTTTAAGTTCTTAGGTCCCTTTTCATCAAACCAGATTTCTCTGGCTTATACAGACCAGTTTCCACATATAATAGACATCTACAGATGTGTCCAATTCCAAGGAAATTAGATTCCCCTGCAGAAGGTCATTTCTCTGCAGCTGAGCTCTTAGAACTGATTTGAAGCCTGTATCCAAAGATTTCTGGAATTGACTGACATACCACCTGGTTAGTAAAGTAACTACAGAGCTTTGAGCCTCCATGGAGGTGTTTGAGAGCTTTGTTTTATGTCCTGTAGGAAATGCTTAAAATTTGGGATCCCTTTGTCACCTATATGTACATGCCTTCATTTATTTCTAAGCTGTTGTTTAAAAGCAAATTTCCTAACTTAGCAGTAAAAGTTTTCACATTCACTTAGTCCTGACATATTGCCATCAACTTTATAGGTTTAGCTTTTCTTTTTCTCAAAACGTTTAGGTGTCCTCACTCTTATGAGTTATACCTAAGTCACTGTAGCACGTAATTAATGTTTGCAAAAGGAAAGAGAGGGAATCCCTGAACTGTGATGAAGAGCAAATCTTAGCAGAAGAATCTTTTCCAACAAATTGATTCTTACCTAATCTTGGAATTGTCAAAGAATAACAGAAGATAATTTACTCTCACAGGGTGAGGTAACATTTGACAATTTTCTTCATCAAATCACAGACTTGTGTAATCATGTTTAAGCTACTTTAACAAGTGCCACCTCCCTGTGTTAACAAAAGCAGACCCTTGGGCACAGATGTGCTAAGTAGAACTGGAGCCGAGAACTTGAACCACAGCTCATGTCTTCCAACATCTAGCCCAGACTTTTATACTGATGACTTTTCGCTTTGGTTTCTTTTTCCCTCTCCCATCTTAAAATTCATAATTTATTTGTAAGTGGGTCCTTACTACCAAATACCAGTGCCCTCGTCCACATTTATATCAGAGATAGTAGATTTGCTCTTATGCAGGTGTGGAGAACAAATAACTCCTATTCCTCAGTGGATGAGTTTGCTTTCACATTTTTCTAAACAAATTGGAGATCTTTCTTTAACAGGTGCTGTATGGCATGCTCAGGAAAGAATTTTCTTGTATTTTTAATCTAACGAAAAAACTATATTCTATTTTCCTAATATTGTTACCACCTACTGTATTACACGTTTCACTTGAGTCGTCAGCTCTTTTTGATTCACAGTGATATGGCATCCAATCTACATTCACTGCAGGATACAATATTCCCTCCACAACAGCCACAGAGTCTTCCTGTCTGGTGGGTTGTGATGGCACCACTGGGCAGCTAGGAGTTAGTGACCACCTATCAGCAAGTTGCCAGGGGGCCCGCTGGACCTGATGTGCATTCTCTCACTCCAGAAGGCTCTATTCTCCCCTAACTTCCTTAGGACTTTCTTCCCTTTTGATATTCCTAGATTTTATTTAACAATCAGCACTCCACAAGGTTTCTGTGGTATTCTAGGATTCTCTTGGGAGGGAGGAAAGAGAGATATTAGTAAAGGGCCCCAAAAGTCAATTACATTGTATAGTGAAGAATATACTAATTATCTTGATTTGAGCATCACACGTTGCACACAGGTATTGATATTCAATGTTGTACCCCTACAGATATGTACAATCAACTGTGTTCCAACAACAAATAAATTAATTAAAAACTGAATTTCAGAAAAGTAAATAAAAAAGAAAGAAAGAAAGAGAAGTACTCAAAGTATGTCTTTGAATAAGAGAGATGTGCAAGTGTTCCTAAAGAGAGTAGGTGACTGATGATTGCATCTAGAGTTCATTGAAAAAAGGTACAGGGGAGGGCTTTGTTTTAACATTTTGTAATTGAAATCTACATGCCCTGTGCCACTATGTAACTGTCCTTATCATTAGTTGGGAAAGAGATGTCCTACCCCTTGGAGCCCTTGTGCATACTACAGCCTGAATGCGCAGCGCAGGGAGCCATGGTGGCCCGGAGCATAAAGGGACAGATTTGCTGGTTGCTGTAGCAATCTGCCCTCTGAGTCAGTCCTGTCTGTTAGCTTCAGAGTTAACAAACTCTGTGCTAATGAAGTCTTCTGAGGTCTCTTAAGCATCCTTTTAGAATCATTTACTGCCACATGCTGTGATATCAAAATTTAAAATCTTTATTATCTTTCAAAAAAGTTTACTTTTTCACTGATATAAACTCATTGCATATCTGGTAACCGAAACATTTTAAAAATTTTATTGACATCATCAAACAAATATATGTCACGTTGAGAAGTACTTCTAGAATATTACCTATGACGTAAGTGTTAAACCACTTGTTGGTATTTTTCCTTAACTTTTTTATGCTATATTTCTTACCTTTCCAACTCACAGGAGGAAGGAGCAGAGTAATTCATTCCTTTATTTTTCCTTGTAAGTGATAGTGATTTACATATTCTCCAGATGTTGTTCTTGGAGGGATGCTTAAAGTTGCAATGTCAGCTAAGGATTTCACATCTTATTACAAGTGAATACAAACAACATTAACATCTCATTTTTTCTTTGTAACTGCACTAATTAGTTGCCTTTCCAATCACTTCCACTTAGGTAGGAAAAAATCTCATCTTCCTCTTCATTGAGTTTTCTTGTTCCAACCAAATACCTTCTCTATACCAGAATTCCTTTCTTTCCCTTTCATTGTCCCTTACTATTTGCCCTTTTAAAGATTTTTTACCCTGCTTTTCAGTAGATATATTTATTTTTAAGAAAGCCTATCTCCAGTTTCCAGCCACATCTCAGACAAAAATGACCCTCTACCAATCACAAGTCAGTTTAAATGTGTACTCTTCTGTGTCTTTCTAATGAAAGGTTAGCATTCCTTGGGTCATTGCCTGTGTAATGCTCCCAAAGCCAGATTGTCCCCACCTCGTCTCAGCCTGGAGGAAGACTCGAGAGCTGGGGGCACTTGTTTGCTAGCTTTCTTCTCGACGTCCTCTGTGGGCGATGGTACAAATAGACCTGTTCCTCACCTGCCCCCACCACTCCCAAAGGGCCTTCACAACTCACACGCCCATTCGTTCAAGCATATTCTGATTGCATGTCCAACCCCTTATTCTGTTTGCATGTCACAGATGTGTTTTCCGTGTCTTCATTGTTCATGTTGGAATATCAGCTTGTCAGCTACTATAGTCCTTAAAGACAGCAAAATCCTATCTACGTTTTCAGTTGTCCCACATAGTCATGGTGCCTGCCATGTATGTGCACATGCGTGCACCTGTGTAAATTCTCATAACTTGTACATTCTACACTAGGACTAATGGAGATCCATCAAAGTCCTGGAAATTTCCAGAAGTGATACTGAGATGCTGAATAGCTCCTTTGTTTATTCTCAGGTTTGGCATCACCCACTGCCATAACTCCAGTAGCATCCCCCATTTGCAGTAAAACAAGGGGCACTACACCAGTTTCCAAACCCCAAGAAGGTAAGTCCCCAAGGTACTCAGTACACCAATGAGCTTCCAGTCAGAAGAGACCTTAGTGACGTTCTCTCACCGATGGTTTCTACTTGCTTAGATATTGAAGCCAGACCAGATATGCAGTTAGAATCGGACCTGAAGTTGGACAGACTGGAAACCTTTCTCAGAAGGCTGAATAACAAAGGTACGTACCAGAAACCAGAAGAGAAGCTTTGGTTTACATTGTTGTAGTACACTGATTTGTGTTTTCAATGAGTAGCTAAGAAAACCTAAAAAATCCTGCTGCTCTCTCAGAATCTCTAAATCCCAATTCTGATTGCTTTTTCTCCTCAGCTAAATTATCTTCTTTCTATTATGGCTTTGCTAATTCATATCAAAAGCATTAGCTCTGTTGTTATCTTTCAAAAAATGAAGTTTTGATCAAGACCGATTGGATTATGAAGCTCTGATTTACTTGATAATGTACTAAATTGGAGACTCCCAATAATACTGTGTTCCTCAATCTAAACCCTTGGGATGTCATCCAATCAGAATTGTAAACTCAGTGATTTTGTACTTAACCCTGAAAGCAGATTATTATATGTATGCAAAACCAACATGGTCTTGGGCCTTGTGAACTATAAATTGTATGTGTCAATTTCTAAAAAGGTAAAAGTGATTTCTAAAAGAAAATTCTGGTAAGCAAATGTTGAAATAAATATTCCAATACAAAAGTCAATTAAGTATGCAAAATAAAATAATAATATGCAGAAATAGCCTTTTATCTCTTGATAAAAACATTCAGTACTTGAAACTTACAAAATACTAGGCACTGGGAGTTTCTCTTATTGACAGTGACCTTTAAAATGTTGAAAATAGTACAACCACCATAAACCAGACATATAAAAATGTAATACAATAATTAAACTGGGTAGGCAAGGAAAGTAAACAATCAAAAGTTTATTACATACTTATAACAGTGGTCGAGCCCATGGGTCAGCAAAAAATGATGGCCGTGGCCAATGCCAGTGCTCCACCTGTTTTTATAAATAAAGTTTTATTGAGACACAGCCATGCCCATTGTAAATCTTCTCAGTGGTCACTTTTACACCACAACAGCCGAACCAAGTAGTCACAACACTGCCATATGCCCCCCACCCATGCAAAGCCTAAAATATTTACTACCTGGCCTTTAGCAGAAAAAGCTTGCTGACCCCTGATGTAGAATGAGGCTGAGACTAGATCTCCCTGTAGTAGAAGCAGGCACAGCTTGAGAAATGCCTCATGGGCTGTGTGTAGCAAGGTCAGCCTCCTCTCTCTTGCCCTTTTACTGTGCAAGGCTTGTTCAGGTGGGAGGACATCCTTATGTGAGAAGTCAAGTAAGGGCCAAGGAGGCAACCAGAGAACACTGCACACCACTACCATCTTTCTCCACTCCTGGAACTTAGGGGGGAAAATAATGTGTAAAAATATTGTGAGGCATAGTTGGAATAATTGTGTTTATAAAACTCTTCTGCTGTTTATTTGCTCGTTTGTTGATAGCTGGTGGGATGCAGGAAACAGTACTCACTGTGACTGGTAAATCTGTAAAAGAGGTGATGAAATTGGATGATGATGAAACTTTTGCCAAGTTTTACCGCAGCGTGGATTGTAATACACCAAGAAGTCCTGTGGAGCTGGATGAGGACTTCGATGTTATTTTCGATCCTTATGCACCCAAGTGAGTTATTTTGGTCTCCATCTTTCCTCCACTGAGAATGGCTTCCTCTTCCTGCCTCCACGCAGTATTTTAACAGGGATCTCCTCCCCCTGTCCTCCCCTCCTGTAGTAGAACTCCACTACAGCCATGTTATTACTCTAGAGCCACATGCGTGGTGCTGGGGGTTAGATAAAGCATGCATGCTCCAGACTCGATGCACGTTCACACAGACCACGTGGACCACAGACGTTTGTCCTGTCCCCAAAACTAGTGTCACTGGATGTTTCCCATAACCTGAGTGTTGTTTTGCAATTTTTTTTAGATTTGCTTCACTTAGCAGAGATTTCTGTACCTATCTTTCATTTGATATATCGAAATAACTTTGAATTTTATAACTTTGAAAAATGTTTGCATGGTATGGGCTCAAATCAATACAACTGACTAGAAAATCACTAAAGAATATTGCTTAGCTTGCAATATTGTATTAAATCAATAGATCTGAGGGTTTTCTCAGTAATGTCAAAGGGCCCCTCTTCACATGGGAACATGACTGAAGCACCTATGAAAAGTTACTATGGTGTTACGATCCCTTCAGTTGCAAGTGCCAGAAAAAAAAACCAAATCAAACTGCCTTAGCAAAAAAAAGGGCTGGAGGGAGTTAGGGGTTCCCTCACTGAAGAGTTCAGCTGTGAACTCAGGTTTCAAAGGTTCATGAGAATGCGGGCTCTGTCTTGGCTGTATCCCTCGGGCTGGCTTCACTCTTAAGCAAGGAAACCGTGTGGTGGGAGATGGCCACCCCCAGCTCTGGGTTTACAGGCTACTTACTTAGCCAACACAGCACAAGCAGCTTCTCCTCTCAGGAGTTCCACAGAAGTTCCAGGTTTGGTTTTCTTGGCTCTAGCTTGAGTGCAGTCACTGTGGCCAAAGGGACAGAAGATGCTGATTGGCCACAGGAGGGTCTCTGGGTTCCCTTCTGAGCCGTGGTGTGGGTGGAGCATGGTGGTCCCCCCAAAGGAAAATCCAGAAGCTATTCTCAGAAGCAGGGGTTAGTAAATGCTGGGCAGGCTAACCCCGCAGCGACCCCCTCCACATTTATCTTTTCTTGCCTACAAAATGATCAGGCAGAAAGTCTCTCCCGGAAATCTGTTTAGTCATCACAGATTCTTTCATAAGCTGCTCCTGACACAGTCTACATATTTCATTTTGTTCAGATTGTTTTAATTTTCATGTTTTCATTTCCTGCTTTACAAATATGAACAATTCGCTATTCCCCACCTTAAAATAATATTTTGGGTATTTGCATCCGTGGTTATTTAGCCGTTTCTCAATCTTCTCCCCACCCAAATGTCATTATTTACATTGTTATATATGATCATTTAAACATGTATACAGGCATACCTCATTTCACTGCACTTCACTCTATGGTGCTTCACGAATACTGTGTTTTCTTTACGAATTGAAGGTTTGTGGCAGCCCCGTGTCAGGCAGATCTATCAGCTCCATTTTCTAACAGCATGTGCTCACTTTTTTCTCTGTGTCTCATTTTGCTAACTCCTGCAATATTTCAGACATTTTCATTATCAGTATATCTGTTATGGTAACCTGTGATCAGTGATCTTTGATGTTACTATTGTAATTGTTTTGGGGCTCCACAAACCCTACCCATATAAGATGGCGAACTTAATCAATAAATGTGGTGTATGTTCTGAATCTTCACCGATTGGCAGTTCCCCATCTCTCTCCTTGGGTACCCTATTTCCTGAGACACAACAATATTGAAATTGGGCCAATTAATAACCCTGCAAGTGATCAAGTGAAAGGAAGAGTCTCATGTCTTTCACTTTTAATCAAAAGCTAGAAATGATGAAGATTAGTGAGGAAGGAGTGTCAAAAACCGAGACAGGCCCAAAGCGAGGCCTCTTGTGCCAAATAGTGAGCCAAGCAGTGAATACAAAGGAAAAGTTCTTGAAGGAAAATAGAAGTGCTGCTCCAGTGAACACAGGAATGACATAGTGAAACAGCCTTATTGCTGACATGGAGAAACTTTTAGTGGTCTAAATAGAAGATCAAACCAGCCACAACATTTCTTTAAGCAAAGCCTGAGAGCAAGGCCCTAGCTTTGTTCAATTCTGTGAAGGCTGAAAGGTGAGGAAGCTGCAGAAGAAAAGTCTGAAGCTAGTGGATGTTGGTTCATGAGGTTTAAGGAAAGAAGCTGTGTCCATAACGTAAATACAAGGCAAAGCAGCAAGTGCTGGTGCAGAAGCTGCAGCCAGTGATCCAAGAAGATTCAGCTGAGATCATTGATGAGGGCGGCTGCACTTCAGTGTAGACAGAACAGCTTTCTATTGGAAGAAGATGCCATCTAGGACTTTCATAGCTAGAGCGGACTGCCTGGCTTCAAAGCTTCAAAGGACAGGCTGACTCTCTTGTTAGGGGCTAATGCAGCTGGTGACTTTAAGTTGAAGCCAGCGCTTATTTACCATTCTGAAAATCCTGGGACTCTTAAGAATTATGCTAAATCTACTCTGACTGTGCTCTATAAATAGAACAATAAAGCCTGGATGACAGCATGTCTGTTTACAGCATGGTTTACTGAATATATTAAGCCTACTGTTGAGACCTACTGCTCAGAAAAGAAGATTCATTTCAAAATATTACTGCTCATTGACAGTGCACCTGGTGACACAACAGCTTTGACGGAGATGTACAAGGGATGAATCTTGTTTTCATGCCTGTTCACACAACATCCATGCTGCAGCCCATGGATCAAGGACTAATTTTGACTCTCAAGTCTTATTATTTAAGAAATGCATTTCATAACATTATAGCTGCCGTAGACAGTGATTCCTCTGATGGATCTGGGCAAAGTAAATTGACAACCTTCTAGAAAAGATTCACCATTTTAGATGCCATTAAGAACATTCGTGACTGATGGGAGGAGGTCAAAAGATCAATATTAAGAGGAGTTTGGAAGAAGTTGATTCCAACCCCCATGGATGAGTTGGAGGGGTCAAGACTTCAGTGGAGGAAGTAACTGCAGATGTGGTGGAAATAGCAAAAGAACTAGAATTAGACGTGGAGCCTGAAGATGTGACTGAATTGCTGCAACCTCATGATAAAACGTTAATGGGTGAGGAGTTGCTTCTTACGAATGAGCAAAGAAAGTGGTTTCTTGAGACGGAATCCACTCCTGGTGAAGATGCTGTGAACACTGTTGAAATGACAATAAAGGATTTAGAGTATTACATAAACTAGTTGACAAAGTAGCAGCAGGGTTTGAGAGAACTGACTCCAATTTTGAAAGAAGTTCTACTCGGGGTAAAGTGCTACCAAACAGCATTATGTGCTACAGAGAAATCTTTCATGAAAGGACGTCAATTGATGCTGCAAACTTCACTTGTGTCTTATTTTTAAAAATTGCCATAGCCACCCTAGCCTTCAGCAACCACCACCCTGATCGGTCAACAGCCATCAACATTGAGCAAGACCCTCCACCTGCAAAAAGATCACAACTTGCTGAAGGCTCAGAGGGTCGTTAGCATATTTTAGCAATAAAGTATTTTTAAGTTAAGGTATGGGCATAGTTTTTTAGACATCATGCTGTTGCACACTTAATAGTCTACAGTAAAGTGTAAATGTAACTTTTATATGCACTGGGAAACCAAGTCCTGTTACTCGCTTCATTGTGATATTCGCTTTACTGTGATGGTCTGGAACCAAACCCACAATATCTCCAAGGTATGCTTGTATGTGTATTTACACACACTCACACAACAATGTACATAAAGAGGACTTTCAGACACAGAGACCCATGCAGTTGGAAGTTGAGAGTAGGAATCTGTTAGGAGTTCGTGTAACTGGATCTACTCACCTCCCCAGTCCAGTCTTTGTCCCAAAGAATGTGAGAGTGTGGGGTGGTCAGTGGTGGCTTTGCAGGCCTCTTCTATTTCAATATACTCTTCAAAATAGTGGTTGTTTTACAGAGGGAGGCAGTGGGTTGATTGGAGGCTGGTCGCGGAGGAGTGGCAAGGGGACTGAAAGCGACTGCGTGAAGACAAAGTTTAGTTTGGAGCAAAGAGAATAAACCAAGGAGCGATGGTAGACAGGGGTGTCATTCCACCGAGACAATTAGGACGCAAGCCTGGGTGTGATAAGGAGAGGGAAGAAGTCCCTGCCCTGCAGGGCTGCGCAGCAGGTGGATGAGCTGTCCGTGAAGGACCTGGCGCCCCTGCAGGCAGAGACCAGGGGCCTGAGTGAGGGAGGCTCCTGACACTGCCTGGGATCATGAACTCCATGGGCTTGTGTCTCCCTTCCATTTCCAACATTCTGCAACTCCACATCCGGATAGTGGCGGTGGCAGGGGAAAGTGGCGGTGGCAGGGGAATTGAAAGGTGTATAATACAGTTGTGGAGTCCACTGCTCTGGGCCTGAGAACTGCCAATAAACCAGGTGTGGCTGGTATTGCAGACTGAGACCATGGCTCTCCTTGGCTCTGCAGATTGACGTCTTCCGTGGCTGAGCATAAGCGTGCAGTTAGGCCCAAGCGCCGGGTGCAGGCTTCCAAAAACCCCCTGAAAATGCTGGCAGCCAGGGAAGACCTCCTTCAGGAGTACACTGAGCAGAGATTAAACGTCGCCTTCATGGAGTCAAAGCGGATGAAAGTAGAAAAGAGTGAGTATTTGGATCCGTTATCTGCTTCTGTGCTGTTGGGTTATTTTAATCATTTCTTGTTTTTCTGCCAATGATAGTGCTCAGAAGACACTCATTAAATAAAAATGAGTAATTTTGCATATACACGTGCACGCCTGCCTAGAATTTAAAAGTTCTTCGTAGAAATTCTTATATCGTGGGTCATCTGTTTAGTTGGTTAATTCAAATTATCCTGTTTTGTTGAGTTTTTTTCCAAGAGGCTGAAGGAGAAGGATGCTTCTGGGTTTTGTGATTCATCCCATTTTCAGCTCAGTAGATCCCGAACACAATAGTTTTCCACTTACTCTTATTCAAGAGGAAATCATTTGATCTCTTATGGAAATATGTTCCAAATCACTGCTTTTCCTAATCCTTGATTTTTATCTTGTTAATTAGTGCATAAACCGGTGCTGTTCAAACTGTTCTTAATAGGACCCTCAAACTGCTCAGAGTTGGGATGAGAGTTGGGTGGAGTGGGGGAGTCGGGATAGGGCCCATGGGTGCAGGCTCTCTGCTCCCACTTCAGGCAAAGCCATCTGTTCTCATCTGCCCAGTATTGCGGGATTCCATAGCTCTGAAATAATGCTTTTCTTGGTGGAGGCAAGGGCATACATAATCTAAATATTTTGAATATTCTTGTCATAATTTTTATTTTCCTATTGCACTCATAAGCCTATTTCCTAAAGCTTTTCTTAGAAATATAGTATTTAGATGAAGTGGTTGAATCTTATCCTTATAACTGGTTTACTAAGAAAGTATTTCAGAATCACTGCACTATGTGAGTTGTCAAGTAGTGTTGTAATCTAATCCCAGTGAATTTTCTAAATTTTTCTCCAGCATATGCCTTTTTTAAAACAATGAGTTGGAGAAATAAAGGTTTATTGGCACAAATTTTATATATGTTTTCTTTACCTCCACTTTTGAGGGCCTCGGGGGATAATTGGTTGGTCCATATTGAAAACCCAGCATCTTGTAGTTACAGTCATAGGTCTGAGAGTGAAGAAATTCAAGGTATCAAGCTGATCACTTCACCTCCAGAAAAAGATTAGAATGAAATTATCCCTTACAGAGTATCTACTTTCCTACACATAAAGACTCGGGAAAGATGTCTAGATGTCTTCCTTGGGTTCACATTCCAACGTCTAAACATTAGGAGTTATAGCGGCTTTCAGTGTGACAACAACAGGCTAGTTCAGCTCCTGGCTTTCTCCTAAAGTAGCTGATCCACGTGGTCACTCTATTCTTGTCCCTCTGCACGATGAGGTGTGACACTTGTCAATAAGCAGTTTATACTTTCAGTACTACGTTTAATTCTTAATACAGAGGCTAAGCATTGAACTGCATGGTTAATCAAACTTGAGTATGTTTTCCTTCTCAGATTTAACTTCAAAAGACAAACGTAGTGAGTCAGCTGTGAATCATTTCTGATTGTCAACATTGTCATTTCAACTGAATATCTTGCTTTACCCGTGTTGTGTTTCCTTATTCAACCTGCCTAGTGTCCTCCAACTCCAACTTCTCAGAAGTCACTCTGGCAGGTTTAGCCAGTAAAGAAAACTTCAGCAACGTGAGCCTGCGGAGTGTCAACCTGACAGAACAGAATTCCAACAACAGTGCTGTGCCCTACAAGAAGCTGATGTTGTTGCAGATCAAAGGTATTTGAGAAGAGCGTAGAGGAATCACAGGCTGGCCCATGGCTTCTGCCTGGTTGCATTAGGGGTCTGACTGCTCCCTTTATTACCTTATGGGGAAGGGATGCGATACTTTTGGAGAACTACTGTGTTACTTCCTCTCACTTAAGCATCACGAAATCCCACTAGGTAGGAAATATTTTGCCCATTGGGGCTTTGGGCATTAGTGATGTGCCTGGGACGGCAGCAGCTGTTAAGTGGCAGAGCTGGGTTTGAACCCAGGTCTGTCCCATTCCAGAATCTCAGCTTTGGCTCCTGCTCCCCCTTTTCACACACTGCCATGCAGTTCCCAGGGCCCCCTGAGTCATCAAAGTGGTTCTCTGCTCTCTACTCAGTCCTCACTGAGGTAAGCAAGAATCAACACAGGCCAGAGGGAGAAAGGCACATTCCTGGGAAGGAATCAAGGGAGAGTGGACGCCAATGAAGCAGACCCGATTGCACCCTTATCCCCTTTCTACCCATAGCAAGGGAGGCTGGGAGACAAGCGGGGAAGCTCGGGCAAGGAGCAGACTTAGCTGCCTCCTCGTGGCAACCCCTGGAGATGAACCGTCGAGAGAAGGATGGAGGAAGTCTCCTCTAGCTCTCTGAGGATTTCTTGTGTGTTTCTGCATAACCACGGCCCTTCTTAGTGTATTTAAAAGACCAGGGACAAGCTGAAATAACCAGTCTCTGTTCCCGTGTCTAATGCAGAGACTACACTATCAGTGTAATTGTGGAAAGCTCGAAACCAACAAGTCACTTAGGAGGAGGTGTTGAAAGCAGCAGCAGGCAAAGCTTTCCTCTGACTGATTCCCATTGACTCGCCCCACGGTTTACAGGGCAGCTTCCCCAGGAAGAAGATGCTCTGTGAAGGCGTGCCTTCCCCTCCACGTGGCCAGCAGAGCTGTCAAGTGTAGGAGGTGGGCTGGGTGGAGAGAAGGGCACTAGGGAAGAGTGAAGGAGGACAGAGGAACATGTTTGCTGGTTTCCCTGAAAGATGGGACCTTAATTAATCCACGCATGTGCTGTAAGAAGATACCGATAATAGTCTTGAGAAGTGTGGTGACATTCAGGAAAGCACTGATGAGGGAAAGTAAGAGACGACGCTGTCGGGTTGTCAGTTTTAAATCCCCCTCCAGGCCACCCTGGGTCATGGGAACTAACATTAGCAGACAGGGCTCTTCTTTAGAATGGAAAGAGTCTGTGGCCAGGATGCCTCAGAGGTGGCTGTGTCCGGTCCCGGTTCTCCTATCTGAGAGAACGGTGACTCTGCCTCGCGTTCAGGAAGAAGACACGTGCAGACCAGGCTGGTGGAACCTCGAGCTTCGTCACTCAACAGCGGGGACTGCTTCCTCCTGCTCTCACCCCATTACTGCTTCCTGTGGGTAGGAGAGTTCGCGAATGTCATAGAAAAGGCCAAGGTTGGTATCTGAAAAATACACATCCTTTAATTAACGTCTTAATACACCAATAGAATATTCCACTGGTGGTCAGATCATTACAAAGCTTCTGAAACGCTTTGAGATGTTTCATTCAAGCGAGGAGGGGTAGGTAGTGTTTCTTCTTTTCCTGAATGTCTCTCAAACAAGCTTTTATTAGATGCTTCAGTGGGATGTTTTAGAAGGACTGTGGCCTATACCTTCAGGGTCTAAGTCCTGGGTTTATTCTTTCTTCTGTGTAATAAAGGAACTGGCTCCACTTCAAAGTCCTTTATCCCAGGCACTTATCAAGTTATGTCACAGATCTATTGAATGAGAATCTCACAGGGTGAAGCCCAAAGAATGGGTATTTTTCAAAAGCTTCACACATGACCTGTTGAATATTGAAGACAGAACTATTGCTGTAAAGAATTGATACCCCCTGGTCCCTCAGTCACGGTTTGCTGACTGTATTGGAAGTACCCAGCAACCACCCCTGCGCTCACAAGGCTTTCCTTCCATCCAGACACACCCCATTTCTCCTCTGATTTCGACATGTGCTACTCCATCTAGCCATAGGCTTTTCTACTTCCATTGTGTTTCTCTCTTTTTTAGGCCTCAGAACTTGCAACTTTAATTCAGACAAAGAGGGAACTTGGGTGTAGAGCTACTTACATCCAAACCATTGAAGAAGGAATTAATACACACACTCATGCAGCCAAGGACTTCTGGAAACTCCTGGGTGGTCAAACCAGTTACCAATGTAAGAGTTGACTGTATTTCACAGATTGACAAGATGTGAATCTCCTTTCTTCTCCCCTACTTCGTTCTTCTAAACCAGCTACTTTGCAGTACCAAATGTGATACTCTCCTATTCTTATCCCAAAGCTGCTGGAGACCCAAAAGAAGATGAACTGTATGAGACAGCCATAATAGAAACAAACTGCATTTACCGTTTGATGGATGACAAACTGGTTCCTGATGACGACTACTGGGGGAAAATTCCAAAGTGCTCCCTCCTGCAACCAAAAGAGGTACGGTGAGGGGGCTCCATTCTTCAACAAGAAAGCACACATAGGCATTCTGCATGGGCTACCAATAAAATAGTAAGTGCCCCAAAAGGTTAGGTAGTGTTAGTATCAATTATACAGCATTTACAGCTTTTTAGGAGATATTTGTGATTTCAAACCATTACTACTATCTCAAATACTAATATAGAATTCAGAGTAATGTTCAGAGGTGGCATGAATCATTGAAGGCTTTTATATTCTAGGCAAAATGTAAATATTACTTAGCCCTATCTCTTAAATTTTATATAAACATTAAATATTTTTTAGTCATTAAGTTTCAGGAATAATAGATGCCTGTATGTATAATGTATGGGCTTGCCAAGTAATGTGTCTCACCAGCAATTATTTATTAATTACATATATTTCCAGTACCATTAAGTACACTAAGTGTTGAGAAAAAAAGCGGAAGACACAAAAGGACCTTAAATTTCACTGGGTAGAAGAGTATCAGAAAAAATGTAATCTAAAGCTGGACTGAGTGTATGATATGCATGGGCATTGAGATGGAGGGGAGAGGAAGTTACAGAAAAAGAGAGAATCAAATGATTGTAAAGAGAAAGTGAAATTGAGCCTTGTTTAGAATTAAATGGAATTTGGATTGCTGGAAACGAAGAGAGACATTATTCTAAGAAAGAGTAGAACAAACCACAGGCATGGACGTAAGAAACAGCATACATTCAGCACACGCTTAGTAGAAAACCCCTACTGTGAGTGTATGTATGATACGATGCCTGCTCTGAAGAATCTGGGAATTGCATACAATGGAGGGGACGTCACTGGATCCTCCGTGCCTGGCTTATATGAGCAGCCTGTATAAGCTGAGTGAAAGAATGAACAAACGAGAGAGGGAGAAACAAGGCAGAGAGGGAGGAAGGAAAGAAGATAGAAGATGCACCTAAATAACTCTTTTATGAATCAGAAGTTTTAAGTGGTTCGAGAGTTCAGAGGAGAGAACATAGACTTGGGCATTTAGGACAATGAGAAGGAAGTCACACCTTCCGGGCAGAGGGTGGCTTGGCAGGGCAGTGCCAGCAGGCAGGTCTTGTGAGCTTCCTGTGCTTGTAATGACTGCCCCATCAGGATTTGTGTCATCATCGTCTATTCGACTGGAGCATGTCCTTGAAGTTCACAGACTCTTTTGTGCCATTTCCCCAGGTACTGGTGTTTGATTTTGGTAGTGAAGTTTACGTGTGGCACGGGAAAGAAGTCACATTAGCACAACGAAAGATAGCATTTCAGCTGGCAAAGCACTTGTGGAATGGAACCTTTGACTATGAGAACTGTGACATCAACCCACTGGACCCTGGAGAGTGCAATCCACTTATTCCCAGGTATTCCCGCAGCCACAGGTGGCGTCACGGAGGGAGCAGGTCGCCTTTGCAGCCCTGGTCCCTAACACAGCATCTACTAGCAATCTTACAGGTTTCAGTCTTCATAAATGATTACCTGCAGTGGGCCATGAATATTCACCAAAAAGAACACTTATTTAGCTCTTATCTAACTAACATAGAAATATGGATGTGACAGTCTTCTGGAAGATGTTTGTGTTCTATTTAATTTCTTGAAGTGAATAAATCCCTCCCACCTGCGGCATTCCACATGCTGTTGTGGAAGATGAATAGTAATTGTTTAAACAAATTACACACCAATCTGAAGAGCTTCCCAGCATCTGGAATTCAGCCACTGATCTGAACACGTGTCCCTTCTGATTTCCTTCCCAGTGTAGGCCTTGAATTCCAGGATTTATTTGGCAGTAGATAATGTTTATGCCTTTATGCCTTTTGGGGGTGGGGGAGAATATGGTATTGAGATAATGATTGTAATTTTAATATTCCCTGCGGTGTACTAGATTTTTAAAAATCACTTTGGCACACACAAACTCCAAGAAATATGGTCATGAAAAAAAATAATCTTATGTGGAAAGGATTGTTATTTTTTAACTACCAGACTTCCCCCCCCAAAAAAAGTGTTTTTCAACTGTGTGCCATATAATAGATTAGAAATAGATGTACCACCAAACAGTGGGTACTATGCAACTACGTTTTAATGTTTTTCATTGAACTAGTATACAAGTTTAAACTTTGCTATTAGTGTACAACTTTAAAGTTTCCTACCTGGTTTCCTGCTTTAAAATCCAATTATTGCTTTTTTATTAATTATCATTAAAGAAACATTGAAAAGGGCCGGCCCAGTGGCGCACTGGATAAGTGCGCCGCTTGGGAAGCGCGGCAGCGCTCCCGCCCGAGGGTTTGGATCCCACATACAGACCGGTTCCGCTCACTGGCTGAGCGAGGCGCGGGAGCAACACCGAGGGTTGCAATCCCGTTGCCGGTCCCCGGTCCGGTACGGGGGCAACACTGAGGGTTGCGATCCGTTGCCGGACACGGAAAAAGACAAAAGACAAAAAAAAAAAAAGAAAAAAGAAACATTGAAAAATTATGACAATGTGGTGAAAAGTTTAAAAATTCTTTTTATTCAAATATACATTTAACATTAGTACTATAACAACTAGTGTTTTAAGAACTGAAACTAAGTCTAAAAAGATTATTTTTTATTTGCAATAGTAAGAGAAAAAATAATGCTCATGCATAAAATCTATAGTGCGCCGCTTGGGAAGTGCGGCGGCGCTCCCGCCCGAGGGTTCGGATCCCACATACAGACCGGTTCCCGCTCACTGGCTGAGTGAGGCACGGGAGCAACACCCAGGGTTGCAATCCCGTTGCCGGTCCCCGGTCCGGTACGGGGGCAACACTGAGGGTTGCGATCCGTTGCCGGACACGGAAAAAGACAAAAGACAAAAAAAAAAAAAGAAAAAAGAAACATTGAAAAATTATGACAATGTGGTGAAAAGTTTAAAAATTCTTTTTATTCAAATATACATTTAACATTAGTACTATAACAACTAGTGTTTTAAGAACTGAAACTAAGTCTAAAAAGATTATTTTTTATTTGCAATAGTAAGAGAAAAAATAATGCTCATGCATAAAATCTATATGATGGCAGATTTATATTTAATAGTGACATAATCACAGATCTGAAATTTAGTGAGCACCTAACCCACTGATTTTCAATATCTCTGAGACAGAATCACGTGAGGAGCTTTAAAAAAAATGCATTTGCTGGGCCCAGCCCAAAGATATGCTTGGGTGGGGCTTCAGTGTCAGTATGTCTTAAAAGCTCCCCCAGGATTTTAAGGTGCTGCCAATGTTACGGCACCCAGCCCTTCTTAATCAGCAAGGAGGCTGAAGCCACTGGGGTGTAATGACTTGGCCCAGGTCAAACGGGTCAGTCAGGGAGGACGGGAGAAACACCTGGCTCCTGCTCCCGGGCTCAGACCCTTTACTCTGCAAACTGCTGAGGCTCTTGTTTGTTCCACTTGAAGACATAAGACAGATTTTTAAAGCAGAAGTCAAGTGCTCTTTCTATAGTCATCTTAGCAAGTCTACAAGGTAGGATTTATATTAAAGACCATCATTCCAATATTTTCTCATAAAGACCACAGCCTTTCAAGGTGGTCCTGCATTTTCCATACTTGTTGATATCTGGTTCCCAGAGTCCCGCAAGAGCATGAGGTGGGCGTATTTGTATACTGTGCTTTATCCTTTCAGTTTCCTTTGAAACAGGCAGCATCCTTGATGTGCCTTAGTCGTGATGTCAGAAACTGTAGCCTTGCCCAAACAGGAAGTGGCTGACGCTCGGGTCTCAGCAGCACCCTGGAAGCACTGCTGGGTGGTCTGATGGGATATGTGTGTCCTGGTCCCGACTCACAAGCAAAGATTGGCTTGGAGGGCTGAGAAACATCTGCATGTTATTCTCAGGGCTGTACCCTCTACAGCATCTATTTTCTCAGCTCTGCCTTTTTCTAAATTACTTGTAATCTCAGGTACAGTGTCAAATTAGAAAGTCCTGAGGCCAAACCTGACCTCCAGGTTGGGCTGTGCCGTTCCGTTCCTGAGTCATTGAGCTTTCCCAGGCTGCTGCCCTGGCCAGTGGCACAGAAATGTGCAGAAATTCACTTTATGATACATGAAAGTGTGTTCATTTTAGTAACACAGGAGAGTCCCGTACTCTAGAGAGCTTTGTTGTAACATGACATAAAATAACAGAACTGGGGGTGAGCTACGTCTTCCTTATATGTGTTAACTAATTGGAGAGAAACATGGTGAGCATGACTGTGGGCAGTGGTAAGTAGGTGAGAAGATTTCCACGGGCTCCTGTTTTGTGTGCCACCCCCAGGGCATCCCAAAGACAAGAAATCGCTAGAGTGCAAGAAAAGTCTAGTCCTGACATGGTTCACGTTGCTTTCAGGCACATCAGCTCCACAGACACAAAGCCCTGCAAGGCTTCAGGCTAAAATAATAAAATGTCACTTATTTAATAATATAAGTGAAAGTAAACCATTCACTCTATAACCACTTATGTATTTTGAGATTCTTTTCAGTAGCTGCGTGTTTGTTTTGGAAACCTTTCCTTCGTTTTAACTTGGCTTAATCTTGGTTCTTTTCCTGTCCTCCCGCCTCCCCACCTCACTCCAACCCTGCAGAAAAGGACAGGGGCGGCCTGATTGGGCAATATTTGGGAGACTTACTGAACACAATGAGACTATTTTGTTCAAAGAGAAATTTCTTGATTGGACCGAACTGAAGAGACCTAATGAGAAGAGCATTGGGGAACTTGCCCAACAGAAGGTATTTATTCCGGGTGATCAAGTCTCAAACTTGGGGCTTATTTGGGTCCCAACAAAAGTGGCCTAGAAGCTATAAGCCTTCCCAGGGTTCACTAGCAGAAGAGGAAACTGGTTTCCAATTATATTCCAACCCCAGGAGGTGAACCTGGAGCTATCTGCATTTCTTCTCGGGCATTCTACTCACTAGTGTAGCGATGGGTATTCAGGCCTCCAGAGTCTTTCCTCGAAGTGCAGCCTTTCCCTAAATGCAGGTCAGTGCCCTGAGACAGAGTGGGGAAGCTGTAGTTTACGCTGCCGCATTAACAGTTGTACAGCACTGAGCATGACGAGAGAATGGCTGTAGACTCAAAGCAGCTGAACGAGCGTTTTCATGTGCCCTTACAGGAAGATCCCAGGGCTGAGGTCAAGTCCTACGATGTGACGCGGATGGTGGCTGTGCCCCAGATGACCCCCGGCACTGTTCTGGACGGCGTGAACGTTGGCCGTGGCTATGGCCTGGTGGAAGGGGACGACAGGAGGCAGTTTGAGATTGCCACCGTCTCTGTGGACGTCTGGCACATTCTAGAATTCGACTACAGCAGGCTCCCCAAACAGAGCATCGGGCAGTTCCACGAGGGGGATGCGTATGTGGTCAAGTGGAAGTACATGGTGAGCACTGCAGGTTAGTGAGCGCGTCCGTTTCCTTCAGCTGAGGGTGGCCAGGCCCCCGCAGCGCTGCCCGGGCGGCATTCCCTGCTGCGGCCTGTCACACCCTCGGCTGCATAGGTACAAGGTGGCAGTGGTGTAGACAAAAGAGGTCAGGTAGAATTCCTGACAACCTAGCATTGCCAACGTCCCTGATGTTCACTTGCAGAAATCAAAGGTGCGTGGCAAGGCCTCTCCCCTCCCCTGTCTCCTTCCCCTGCCCCTGGCCCCAGAGGTTTTCTAGGAAAGGAATGATTTGTCTCCAGGTGATACTCACCATGTGGCTGTGTGCTGCTTAAATTAAAGTTGTTAAATAGAGCCTATCTGGGTGATTTAAACTGGAACCAAATGGCGGTGTAATCTTACAGTGAATTCCTGCTCAAAGGATATATCAGTTAAAAAAAAAAAAAAAAAGCTATTTCCTCTGAGGCTGAGAGCACTAACAGTGCCTTCAGGATCTGGTATAAAAAATACACAGTCCAAGTTCTTCAGGGTTCCTGTCAGTGAAATACTATATCAAGACACTCATTACATGAGAGGCTAAAAGGGGTGTCAGGTGGACTTGGAAGAGATCATCCCTTCTCCTTGGCGAGGACTAGCCGGTATCCCCAGTGCGCCTCATCCCTACCCATTTAGGAGAGCACTTGTGATTTCCAGATTCAGCTCCCAAGACACTTTATTGACCTCTTTATAGTCCCCTGTGCAGGAGGGACCCAGGGGCCCAGGAAACAGGCGGCTGCTTGCTGATCTGCAGACTTAACAACCATTTAATTTATTTCCCAATTTATCAAAGATAAGTCTGTTAGTCAGTTGACAACATTTACTTAGCACCTACTCTGTGTAAGACACTTTTTTCAAGTAAATATTTCAAACCGGCCTCCAAGAAGCATATCGTACCAGTGACCATAAAGTAAGAACAGGAAGAGACAGCAGTGCTTCAGGCTAAAGGAGGAGAGCTAGATTCCCTTGACACTGTGTCTGCCAGCAGTGGGGAAGCCCAGCAAAGCAAGACCAGGACAGCCCACAGACAGGCACCACTGGGCTGGTGGCAGTGAGGGCTGGCAGGATCACATGGGGTGCTGAGCTGGCCACGCCTAGAGGTCCACCCTGGCCCCAGAGCCACGACACTGGGTGCTCTACCATGCCTAGTTGAGTGCCTCCCTGTGGCTCTGTGGGACTTGTGTGTTACACTAATTTCCCAGATGAGGGACAGGACAGCAAGGTGAAGTAACCCTCCTGAAGTGGCACAGCTGGTAGAGAGCAGAGCCGGACACTCAAATCCAGGCCTGCTGTGCAGTTCACTCTGCTGGCAGGGGGGTCAGAGTCTGGGCCCAGCACAGGATGTCGGGAGCTGTGAGTTTTGGCTACAAGGAGGACCCGAGTCAGTAGACCTGTGGAGAATGTCAGGGTTGAACCAGCAGCAAGGCCACCTGAACACACCAAACTTTTGTGGCTTCCTAACAGCCACGAGCAGGAATGGAATCTTTCAGGGCCCTGGCAGCTCTGGCCTCTCCCTCCAGAGAATAGTGGGATGTCAGATAAGGACCCCCCAGTGGGAGGGGAATTTCCACTTAATTCCTTAGGAGCTATCAGAACTGCCCCCTTCCTTTTTCATAAGGGGCTATGTCACTTGGAGGGAAGGCCACAGGTGCTGGAGCTCTACGGCCTGGGGTTCAGAATCTCAGGCCCTGACTTTCCAGCTATGCAGATTGGGTAAAATTACATAACCTGTCTGAGCCTTGGTTTTCTCACCTGGAAAATACAGATTATAATACCTGTCTCATATACGATGTTTAGCTTGGTGTTCGGCACATGTACACATTGTGGGTACAGGAACAGTACTGTATTCAACTTGAAGGTGAGATAATGGGGATCCACCCAAAATAATAGCAATTCCCAAAGTGTTGCTACAGTGGATTTAAGCTCCTTGATCAATGCAGAGGTGGCAAGCTGAAATGATTATCTGTGCTGCTGGTTGCCAGTGGAGACAATAATAGGACATTTAGCATGTGCGGGGAGGGCGGATCTACTCACCTTTAGAGTTGTGGAAAGGTGAAGGAACAAACTTTAAAGACACTCATAATTCTCATTTTTAAAACGTAGAATGGGAGCTAAAGGGGCACCACAATTTGAAGTTTAGTTATTTTCTTACTTTAGCTGTTAGTTATGAGACGAGTACTAGTGTGTGAATGAGGAAAACTATAATAAAGTGAATTAACAATAAATAAATCTAAGATTTCCAAGACCTTCATAGGCTATTTACTTGGAGGACCCTAGGAAATAATGATTTGACCCAGGATTTCTTTTCTATATTTCTTCCCAGTAAACACAAGGTACAACTCACAGCTCCCATGACCACCTGCAGGTTATGTCCCGTGCCCCAGCAGGATCAGGGGACAAGCTGCTCGAGCTGCTCGGTGACGCTAGGTTAGGCTACTCCAGAGAGTGACACAGGCTGATTTTATTTTCTGTAAATAGGTGGTCAGTAAATGAGGTTCTGGTGCAAGACTGCTTGACCATGAGCCATTCTTCATACCTCAGTTTTCTGTTATTCCTAAATGGAGCCACTGGTGACAAACGTACCCTTGAAAGTACTTTGATGGTGTGATGTGTCAACACTTTAAATTAGGCATCCGGTTAAGGTGGTAAAGATTAGAATTTCTTTCTTATAATATTGCTAAAATTAAAATTAAATAAGTGTATTAATAGTTAAGTTGTATATAGAACTAAATTTGGGTATGTTGAGGTAGGTTCTCTATAAAGAAAATTACTGAAATGTCTGTCTTATGCAATATCTTTAAAGAAATACAATTCTATTTTAGGTATATACGCTCAAGTCTATTTTTAAATGTTTGGATGTAATGTTGGTTATTTAAGTGTGAATATATATTTACACAATGTATTTGAGTGCTAACAAATTACAAGGTACATATAAACTGTTGTGATCTATTTTAAGCATATTTTCCCCAGTGATCTAGTTGACATAGTGAATTTTCACTAGTTTGTAGAATAAGATTGTTAATCAAAGGCACACGTTTCTTGCTACTTAAATTAACAAATTTCAGTTGAGTGCCTTCCAAATTAATTGTGTATATTCACTACCTATTCATTGATTCCTGTTTCATTTTGCTCTCCCCGAAATACACAAACTTGACCAGTTCAGATCCACAACAGATGGTACTAAAGGCTGTGCTTAGTCAAAGTACTTTAAGAAATTATTAGAATCATGTATGAAAACTGTCACAGAGTACTTTGCAAAACAGAAGGCCAGAAATCAAATTCATATGGCCCCTGTCCCTTTAAAAACTTAAATGGGGTTTTCTCTTACCTTCAAACTTCAACACAGCTGTGATTTTGCAAATGGGAATGGAACTGAGAAAAATGCATATTTTCTACTATGGATTATATTTTAGAAGCAGTTGTTAGCGACAGTTGCATATAGGTGATATAGAACTAGAGAATCTAGTTATTTAACGTGCCTGGGTGTTAAAACCAACCGTTCACCCCCGTTGCAGGGACCACCTGGGCATTTGAGTCAAGAACTTGGTCTCCGGACCTTACTTAGTCTGGAATTTTCTGCTTTCAGGTCACTGCCACTCAGGCCTCTCCTCACCCACCTCCTAAGAAAGGCCTTCCCTCCGTAGGCAATCTCATTCGTCCCCACCCTGCCTGGTGTCATGTCCCCATCTGTTGTCCTCATGACACTTACTGCTACCTGAAATTATCTTGCTCATCTGTTTGTGTATTAGAAAGAAAGCACAGAAATGTCTGTCTTGGTCATCATTGTAGTCCCAGTATCGCAAAGCATCCCCAGCGCATAGTAGGTGCTCAGTAAATATTTGTTGACCAAATGAATGAAGGGAATCTAGAGATACATTCCTAAAGGTAGAGATTTTGAGGTCTGAAATGCTGTCTGAAATGACCATTTGACCAGTTAGCCTTCCACAACTATTCTTCAGAGCAAGCAGTTAGATCTGCCTCCTGTGCTGCTACTATTTATTGAGTGCCAGACAATAAGGAAAGTCAGCACTTAATCCTGGCGACAGCCCTGGTGACAGACACAAAATCCCAGATTGCTTTATGAAAACGATGTGTCAGCAATTTATCACCTCCATTTCTGACAGAACTTGGAAACTTAAAGGTTTTCTTTTTTTTTTTTTTTACACTAGAATAGTTTTCACAGTCTGATTTTTTTTCCTTTACCCTTACAGCTGGTCTGGCTGCTGTTTTCAATGTCTGTGTGAGCCTTTGATCCTGCTCTCGCAGTCGCCCACCTTCCTCTGGGGTGACACGTGTTTTTCTTAGGGTATCCAGTGGCTCCTTCTGAGTATTGTTCCCCAGTTTGGAGGCTCTGGGGCAGTAGCTGGAGAAGGGTCTCTTCTCCTGCTGTTTGACATTCATCCAGGCGTGAGGAACCTCTCCTCTCCCTGCGTCTCTACCCTGGGTCCTCACGGGCCCAGGAGAAGTGCGCCAGGCATGTGCCCCTCCTGGGCATCCCCCTGCTGACCTCGCTCTCTGCTGTGCTGTGTGTTTGCAGTGGGAAGTCGGCAGAAGGGAGAACATCCCGCCAGGGTGTCCGGCAAAGAGAAGTGTGTCTACTTCTTCTGGCAGGGCCGGCACTCGACTGTGAGCGAGAAGGGAACGTCAGCGCTGATGACGGTGGAGCTGGACGAAGAGAGGGGGGCCCAGGTGAGTCCCCACCTGGACAGAGGGGAGTGTCCTTTGCAGGGAGCCACACGATGCATGGCCCTGGGCCCTGATGACCCTGACGACCCGATTCTAATTCACACAGACATCATCATCATCATCCAGAGCACTTTCCGTCCTGGTCCGGCTTCTGCAAATTTCAGGCTGGGCCTCACATTCCATCCTCCCACCTGTTGTGATATGACCTGAAATGAAATGCTGCACCTGCAAATAGTAAATCCAGAAAACAAGCACAAGTGACCAGTGCGTGTTTTCGAAAGGTTCCCACCTAACCCGTAATCAAGGAATTGTTAAATAAAATAAAGTGGTGCCATTATCCACTTCTAAAATTGGTAGAGATTTTTAGAAGAATGGATCCGGCTGGCAAGGATTCAGTAGAACGGGTACCCTACGCGCCTCTGTTGGGAAGGCTGGCTTGAACAGCCATTCCACTTACACAAATCTAACTGAAGGAAATATCAGAGATTACTGCAAAAATTGAGTACTCCCATCGTCTGCATTCCTCACAGCAGCCCCAGTGATTTTTCTAGAACATATCAAGGCATGTCAGCCTTGCTATCTGCCACACAGAGGATAATCTCAGCAGTCTCCCAGTGGTCTCCAGCACCTGGGCGTGGGCGCTGCACCCCTCTCCTGCTCTTGCTCTCCTCCCAGGCTGCAGATATCCTCTGTGCACTGACCTCATGCCCTACCCATGGATACACGCAGCTCTCAAACTCTTACGATGGACGTTTTTGTTCAAACATCACCCCCCTATTTTATCCAAATCCCTCTTCATTCCCCCGTCATTCTCTGTCCCTTTACTGTGCTTTATCTGTTTTCGTGGCATGCTCTACCACCTACATAATCATCTCGTTTGCTTATTTGTTATCTATCTTCCCCCATGAGCATGAAAGAGACCATGTCTGCTGGCCTTACAACCCCATGACCTATAACACCATCATAACCCCAGGGACTGCATAATGCCCGACAGGTACCAGTGCCCAAATCCAAGGTTTTGTAAACATTTCTTTTTAATGTTTGGGTGATCTGTGCCTCATGTCTTATCCTTTAGTACCAGTAATTTGGAGTTGACTCTGGGGTTTTTAGAAAACACAACACCATGTGCAAATATTTTTACTGTCTTGGATGAATGATTAACAGTAACATGAGGGACAGCAGAGAAATTTTCTCCAGATATAGATCAACACTCACTCAGCCTTCCAGAGACCTACAAACCAAATATCTTCCCTAAAAAAATATTTCAATGCATATTTTCTTTTTTTTTTTCCTTTTTGTCTTTTTTCGTGACTGGCAACGGATCGCAACCCTCAGTGTCGCGCCCGTACCGGACCGGGACCGGCAACGGGATCGCAACCCTCGGTGTTGCTCCCGCACCTTGCTCAGCCAGTGAGCGGCCGGTCTGTATGTGGGATCCGAACCCTCGGCGGGAGCGCCACCGCGCTTCCCAAGCGACGCACTGTAGCAGTGCGCCACCGGGCCAGCCCTTCAATGCATATTTTCTACTATGGGTTACATTTTAGAAATAGTTGTTAGCAACAGTTGCATTTTAATTTATTCCTAATAGTGGGTAATTTCAACTGCCTTGCTTTTTTTTTTTTTTTTTGGTAAAGGCCATGAATGAATATGTTTTAATCCAGCCTTTGAAATTATCCTTAGTCATGTTGGTTAGAGCATGATGCTGATGGCACCGAGATCCAGGCTTCAATCCCTATACAGGCCAGCTGCCCCCCAAACCCAAATTATCCTTAGTTTTGAATCTTACTCTCTCTAGTCTGAGCATTTCATTTTTATCAGTCCTATGGATGGAAGATCATCTTAGACATATAAAATACTGCCACAACATGGCACTTGATTATGCAGAATGGGTCCGGAGATGGATAAGTTAACTCATGGTGAGACGTGCTTCTTAACTATCAGAGCTGCCTGACTGCCAGCTCAGCAAAACGTTTCCTCTCTCGGGGAAAACACCCTGCCAAAGTGAAAGATGATTCCACCCTAACGTTGTGACTGGCGCAGCCAGCACCTGAAGGATGAAGACATTCAGAGGGAGGGGAATGTGGCGGGGGAGGCTGATCCCTCTATGAGTGGACTACGGGAATGATTGCAGGACATACGTCCCCCCCAGAATTACTCAGTCATTCTGCTGAGAGGTATACTTTGTTAAAGGTATGTTTAAGTCAAGCATATTCCATCTATACCACAGAATACTATTAAAATGCCAAAATTCATGTTTTAAAAGAATATTTGATGACAGAAAAATATTATAAGGAAAATGAGGGCATAAAACAACATAAACAGCACTCTTATTTTTGTTTAGGAAAAAAATATATACCCAAAAACTACTTTGAAAGGACTGTTCCACAGTGGAATTTGAATAGTGCTTGTCTTTAAATAATAGTAGCATTGCGCTGGCCTTTGTTTGTACATCTTGATGTTTTTCTGATTTTCTGCAATAGGCATGTATTATTTTTATGACTTTGAAAACCCCACCCCTGTTACCTGTTTTCTGCTGTTTAAATGTGAAGGTCCAGGTTCTCCAGGGCAAGGAGCCCCCGTGTTTTCTGCAGTGTTTCCAGGGAGGGATGGTGGTGCACTCGGGAAGACGGGAAGAGGAAGAAGAAAATTCGCAAAGTAAGTTACTTTTACCGCTGGAATTCAAAAATTCTTTTTCCACCTCCTGGAAGGTATTTTTATAGGCAAGGGGGTTTAAAGTAAGTCTCTTTTCATATAGCTGTGGCTTTACCACTGAAAGCCTCCTAATGTTTGTCTAATAAATCAGCTTTATGAGGAGCTCGAAACCCCCTCCTCCCATGGAATTTACTTCAGGATCCTCCTTTGCATACAGGAGGCTGGAAGATTACTTCACCTTAATCTGAATTCTCGTAGTGGCTCTGTCTACTCTATTCAGGAGAAAAAAAGAAAAAAAAAACAAAAACACAGTATCTTCTATTATAAATTATGAGATTTTTGTTGGCCAGCATCCAAAAAAAAAAAATCTTAGCTTTAGAGGCTTTTAAACCATGCCTGTTGTATGACTTATTTTATAAATTTTGTAAAAATGGTTTTTCTGCATCGTGAACTTTTGGCAACCTGCTTGTGCTTCTGACTGCAAAGGGGTCTGCTTTCTGGGATTGTCATTGCTCAGTATGACTTCATGCCACAGCAGCCTCAGCCTCATAGGTCCCCTTAAGTCCCTGAAGCATGGTGGTTGCTGCTGATTGCACAGCGGGGACCGGGGATGGGAAGGGCGGCTTTTCCTGTCCAAGCTCAGGTCATAACTCCGTGCTGCTGACGCCCCCTGCAGGTGAGTGGAGGCTGTACTGTGTGCGGGGAGAAGTGCCCATGGAAGGGAACTTGCTGGAAGTGGCCTGTCACTGTAGCAGCCTGAGGTCCAGGACTTCCATGGTCGTTCTCAACGTAAATAAGGCCCTCATCTACCTGTGGCACGGATGCAAAGCGCAATCCCACACGAAGGAGGTCGGGAGGACAGCCGCAAATAAAATCAAGGAACAGTAAGTGCTGTGTGTCTGGGATGAGCTTCACAGAAGCGGCTTCCCAGAGGGACGCAAGCAGGCTGAGGTGGGAGGGTTCCCAAGACCTCCAGTGGACGCCCGGTGTGCTGAAAGTGACTTCAGCAAGGGAAGATGGTTGTGCACGTGATCAGGGACCTGTGACATTCCAAGTAGATAGGACACACGTCTCAGCCAAGACCTCCGATTTAAGGGCTTCCCTTACTTTCTGAGGATTTACCTGTCTCAATAAAAGGCAGTGTGAGGAGCAAGGCAAGTGACCCCAACAAGCACTTTAGTTTCTTCATAGGTGCACGTCAGCTTTTGAATTACAAGCCTGGAATCCTTTGATATTTAACGAGAGCAAATTTTAAATATCTTTTAGGAATTCTGAGTTTAGTTTGGTCACAACAGTGTAGTGTTAAGAAGCTACAGAAAGGCTTGGGGGACCCCTGTCTGTGGACTGTACAATGTCCCCTTTTTAGAGACCTGTATTCTCCCGTTCTCAAAGGCGGCCACCAGACAGTGAGTCTTGGGCCAGCGCTGCAGGGGTTGGGTCTTATTCCTCACCCAGGCAGGCAGCTGTAGTCGGCCACTTGCTGAGATTGAGTACACCGTGATATAGCACTGAGCGAGGACTCAGAGAAGATGCAACACTGAAGTGAGGTGGGGAAGAGAGAGCTGAGGGAGGTTTGCAGTGGTGGCCGGTCACCTGTCTTGAGTGGGCTCTGCTCTTCCTAGCAGCCCATGCAAACTGGGCACTGCAAGCAGCCAAAGAAACCCCAGTGTCGCCCAAGCATTCAGAGGATGACTGAGGCCTTCCTTACAGTAAAAGTGAGGAGCTTCCTAGGACCACGGCATGTCACTGATGTGCCATTGGGTAAATCCATTCTCTGGGCACTGAACATTGCAGCGTGGGCCACTTCCCTGTGCCACCTCTAGACCTAGCGCTGCATGGAGGGGGCAGAGGGGAAAACAGAGGCAGGTGACCTTCCAACAGGCAGTGAAGCAAGAGGTTTCATCTCCAGACAGCATTCTGGGCAAGGTCACGGGCAGGGAAGATACGATTCTCAGCGAGGTGTCCAAAGGCATTCATGGCCCATCAGATCTTTCACTGGGACCACTGAGGAAGAGCAAAACAATGAACAACTCGTCCACCTATTCATCCAGTGAATATTTATCGAGCATCTGGTTGGCACCAAGCACAGATTTAGGGACTAGGGACTTGGCAGCAAATGAATCCAAGTCTCTGTCCTCATGAAGCTTATGTTCTTGCAGGAAAGAAGGACAAGAAATAGTAAATATGTATTGTTATATTAAGAAGTACATTATTTTTATTACATATTATATGTAAATGTACATTCCTCCCTGGGGGCCAAGCCAACCCCTCTTCCCCCGCACACACACACATTTATAAACTACAGGGCATTTTTTCATTCATTAATAAGAATTGGTTTTAGTTAGGAAAGTAGAGGAAGAGAGTGGGTGAACTGACCTGTAGATTTCGTTTTGTATAATTTTGTGCTGCCCACACTCTCCGGGCTCATAAACAACGATTGGAGTTTCTCCCTTGCAGATGCCCCCTGGAAGCAGGACTGCATAGTAGCAGCAAAGTGACAATACATGAGTGTGATGAAGGCTCCGAGCCACTGGGATTCTGGGACGCTTTAGGAAGGAGAGACAGGAAAGCCTACGACTGCATGCTTCAAGGTAATGCAACCTTCCACAGCCTTCCACGACTTTTTAAAAAACTCACTGATTTATTCAATAAATATTTGTGGAGCACCTGTGTACAACAGACGATAATTTAAACCTAGGATATGTCCTCACAAGCCTACAACCCAATGAGGGGGCTAAGTAATGCCTATGACTAACGGTAATGCAAAATAAAAATTATGCGTCATAAAAGAGGTACAGGTGAGGGAGGTTGAACATTACAAAGAAAAAAGATTACTTCCATCAGGAAAAATCTCACACAGCTTCATGGAAGAGAAGAGAAGAAAATTCCTGGGACCCAGATGAGCAGTGACACAGCGTAAACCTGGAACAAGGTGCTGTTTGGTTTGGCCAGCACCCAGGGTACAGGGAAGTAGCGGGGCTTCAAATTAGATTGGGGGCATCTTGAGTGGGAGGCCAGAGAACATGAGCCACGTGGATGGCTCTGCCACTCACGGAAGGCACAGGAAGGAGAGGCTTGGAGGTCACTGACAGCCTGAATGCACACTTAGTGGAATGCACTAAGAACTTATGCAGGACCTTTCAGGCATTGTAGATCTCCGAGGACATAAAGAAAGCTGGGGACACTGTTCTCAGGAAGGTGTCTGGTAAAATCTATGTGTACAATATCGGATATGATTTCAGGGATTTTACATTCATGGCCCATCAACTAGAACTCGTGATTTAAAAGGCAGTAGATAAAGATGGAACGCATGAGAAATGGGAGAACAGGTCAGTAGAATGTCACAAAAATCAAGAGGGGAGAACATGTCATACAAGAAGGGACAGTTACCACTGCCAGATGGCAAAGTTCAAGGTCTAGGAGAACAAAGAAATGTCCTTGAGCTTGATGCTAAGTGGACTGTCAGAGGCCTTCACCTACCAGTGCCACATCAGCCTGCACGAGCTAGGGTGGCTGGTGAGGTGGGAGGAGGCCCGTGCGAAGTTGGAGAAGTCGCTTAACGATAAGAGAGGAGGACTCAGCAGCAGGAGAATATGAGAGTCCAGAGGAAGACTTCCCGCCACTAGAACATTCCATGTATTACCTATTCTTGGTGCCAATTTTGGGTGGAGCAGGAGGACCCGTTTGAGAGGAAGGGTTAAAATGTAAAAATGGATGATTAAAAGAGGGAAGTCCACGAGGGGTAGGGATCAAGGGCACAAGGGAAAGTTCACCTTGGGGAGGGCATCACTTCTTTGTTCTTTATTAAACATCTTCAGGAAGTAGACCCCTTATCCCATTTCCAGAGCCCTTCAAAGTTATTGATCCTGTTTGGAAAGACAGTGGCTGCTGCTATACAGAATCGACATTCCCATTCACCAGAGTGAAGTGTGTGATATATTCCTGCTGTCTCATCTTATGTTTCCTAGCATAAGAAATAAAGCTAACATTTACTGAGGAGGTCCCAGAAGCCAGGCACCACGTGAGCACCTTATGTACACTAATTCAATTAATACAGTCCAACGTGCTACCATTTTTACAGATGAGGAAACTGAGGCACGGGGAAGTTAATCAGCTTGCCCAAGGTTGGACAGCAATGGAGTATACTCGCAACCACTCCATTCTACTCTGCCTCCCAATTTTTATAAACTTTTATGTAGCTTTTTAAACTTAATTATCTATTGATGATAGGAAATGCTTGAAATTAAACAAGTTAAAAAAAGAAAATAAGTCACTTAACAATCCCATCTCTCAGAGGTAACCAGAACTCACATGTCTGTATGCTAAATATAATATCTATTTTCAAAAATAAAATTTGGAACTTCAGTTTTTTAATGTGCTTTTTCCTTTTACTGTACTATGAATCGTTTCCCAAGTTGTAAATATTTAGACTCTATGGTTGCAGGGTATTCGTGACTGTTCCATGAATATATGCCACTCTTTTCTGAACAGTGTCCTATAGTTGGAGACTTGTTTCCAGTTTTTCTCTATTATATATTAATGCAGTTTGAATAATTTTTTAAATAATTATGTACATTCATTCCTAATTGAGGTACATTCCTAGATACACAATGCTGTGCCAAATTTCATTCTCACCAGCAACATACAGAAGTGAACATTTCCCAGCACAGTCATAAGCCCGGATCAGTGTCTTTTTCTTCTTTGCCAAACTAATGGGAGAAAACAGCCAAGCATAGTTTTCATTTAATTTTTTAATTAGAAATACTGTAAAACACTTCATATATATATTTATATATTTTTAAGTACCTATATGCATTTTTAGTCATTTGTATTTCTACTTTGGTAAATGTTTTGTTTGTGTCTTTTGCATATTTTATTGAGATATTTACCTTTTCCTTATTTACATCCCTTCATATATTAAGGATATTAACTAGCTGCTGTATTACAAATATTCCCCATTTTGTTACTTGCTTTTTCATTTTTTTATCTTTTTGCATTGTAATTTTTCATTTTTATGTAATTAATGCATAAGTCTCTTCTCTTTTGATTACTTCTGTTACTACTAGGATTTAAAAGGCCGTTCTTATCTCCAACTGCAGATAAATTCTATGTAGTTTTGAACTAACTCTTTGAATTCTTTCATGTTTTATATTAATTCTTCAGCCCATCTGGAATTTATTTGGATGCAGATGTTGTCTTTAGCTTTGCTCTCTCTTCTTTCACAGATCCTGGAAGTTTTAACTTCGCACCCCGCCTGTTTATCCTCAGCAGCTCCTCTGGGGATTTCTCAGCCACGGAGTTCGTGTACCCTGCCCGAGCCCCGGCTGTGGTCAGTTCTATGCCCTTCCTGCAGGAGGACCTGTACAGTGCACCGCAGCCAGGTGAGGCCCCCGGGGGCAGCTCAAGCTGAGCAGCAGAAGCTACACTTTCCAGAAAGCCTTTTTATTTTATGTTAGCACTTATTAAGCAATTTCTGTTTGCCAAGGACACTACCAGGACACTTGCTTATAGTGTCTCATTTAACCCTCACACCTACCCCAAAAGGAAATGGAGTGATGCCGACCCATATTAAACTGTAAGGAACCGAGGCTGAGTTACTTAACTCGCCCAGAGATGTCAGTAGGCTGAGTGCAACCGTGTGAGGCCTGGCGTCTCTGCTGCTCTCCCAGCCTTCCTCTCGGTCTTGTTGCTTCATGGTCCCAAGTTGACTGCCCCTGCTCCAGCCATCATGTTTGCCTCCAAGACTGAAAGAAGAGGAGAAAGGGCACTGATAGTCCCATCTCTCCCTTTTATCGGATAAAGCAGAAGTTTTCCCACAAGCCCCCAGCAGACTTCTGTTTACATGTCATTGGCCAGAGCTGGTGACATGCGTACCCCAGCTACAAGGGAGCCTGGGAAAACAGGTGACCAACAAGAAGGGGTTGGGGTATCTGCTGAGTTAGCCAAAGAACAGTGTCTGCCATACCAAGGCTCCACAGGGACACTAGCTCAGGCCTTTGGATTCCAAGTTCAGGGCTGTTTCCAGCAGTCCATGACCTCATGACAGAAACCTCTGTGCTCTCATTCCAGCTGGGACAGTCACAGGAGGCTGGACTCCACAGACCCTCCCACCTTCCTGCCCATCAAGTCTGAGGCCAGCTGCCCCTGAGCTAGGGGTGTGTCCATTCTCCCTTTACAGGAGCCAGAGCTGCAGGCGGGGGCCCCCGCCTTGCTCTGGTGGCCCAGTTCACCACCTGAAAAGCTTGACGGGTGCACATGTCACACTGTGTGAAATATTAGCAAGAGTCTAAAAAGAGAGGCTGCCATCCACACTCTTCATCCTAGGGCTCAGGCTGGGTTATCACCCTCCATTGGGCTTTAAAGAGTGTACTTTTCACAGAATGCTAAGATGCTTGCCGGAAAGGACTTGGAAGGGGTTGTGAGAACCCCTTTGCCATGTGGAATGAGAGTCAGGTTGATGGTTTGAGGAAAAAAAGTGAGGAGAAAGAGGCAGAACACTTTTGATTTTAAAGCCCATTTTTCTCTAAGAGAACCATGGACTTGCTAAGCAGTCAGACACAGGGCAGGCACGCCAGTTTTTAGCAAGCTTTTTGGTGCTAATGGCCCCTCGAGGCATGTGCATTATTCAGGGCACTCGTAGCTCAGCCCTGCCCACATCCAGAGGCGCAGGGTGGGCTTGAGTGGAGCCAGGAAACAGGAGCAGGACCTGGGGGAGAAGGAAAGAAAGACGCCCCCTCGTGGACACCACGTCTTTCTGCCTGGTGGCTTGGCTTGACTTTCAATGGGATGAGGTGTCTTGCAGCCCTGCCTTTGCCCCTTGCCCCTGAACTTCACTGAAAGAGGCTTCTCCCCTCTGAAGAGCAGCAGGGAGGGCAGGCATCTGTTACATTGGGGAAGGGAGAGGTGGAAGCACCCCTGACTGTCTGGTTCTGTTCTCGCCCTCACAGCGCTGTTCCTGGTTGACAATCACCACGAGGTGTACCTCTGGCAGGGCTGGTGGCCCATCGAGAACAAGATCACTGGGTCTGCCCGCATTCGCTGGGCCTCTGACCGCAAGAGCGCCATGGAGACAGTTCTCCAGTACTGCAGAGGTGGGCTCCCTGGCAGGCTCCGGCACAGGGAGGGGGCCGGGAGCCCCTCGGGCACCCGCAGTCCCCCAGAGCCCCGGAGCCCCTTTCCCTCTGTGCATGCAAGCCAGCAAGGGGGAAGCCTGGCCGACAGCGATGGAACCAGCTTTTCCCTCCACAAACTTTTTGAGGCTCATTAATTTTGAGATTAGTGCAGTCTCGGCTGCCAGCATGAATGAGTTTCTCTCTTTTATATTATAAGGCCATCTAACCTGTTACCTTCAAGGTTAAAGGCTGTATTGTGGAACACCCTGGACTGACTAAGACCCTGTTACACTTGTGATAATCAGGCAGTGAGGCCAACAGGCCTCCACCACGCACATGGTCTGCAAGCCATGCTGTACCCTCAGAGAGCAGAAATCTCCCCCAAACTGGCTGGAAGGCCAGTGTCGACCCTTTTATCGTTTTTATTCATTATTATTTTTAGTATTATATCCAAAAAGAAAGATCCACAGTAAGTTCATAGTTTTTTACTGTACTGTCCACCTGAAATTTGGGGTCTCTTATATAAAATGGAGATGCCAGTAATTAATTTCTTATCTGAATGTTTATGGTTTCATCTATTTGTTTAATATCGCTGAGTATGTACAATTGATTCTCCTCTTGAAAAGCTCTTTAGTAATAAATAACTTACTAAATTTTCCACCAAATGTTAAAGCTGAAGTGGGCTTCTAAAATGCTGTCATTAGCTGTCTGATCATATTGAGGCTCATCCTGTGTTGGGGTGTCGGGAATACCTCTACAGGTGAGTGCGGGAGGAAGAAAGTGTCCCACCCAGGAAGCTACAGAGAGGCTTTCTCCCTCCCAGGGATCCAGAAGCATTTTGTCGGGTTTGGGAAGTATAGAGTAAGGTTGATGTATGTCATTATTACAGTTATAGGTATAAGATGAACATGTTCTGTAAGCATCATCCATGTGTTGTTATGAAACACTCGGCTTGCATTTTAAGCGTGAATCAAGCGTTCTGAACAAAGAAGAAAAGATTTTAAGGGACATCAGAAAAAGGCAGGGTCCTAGGGCTTGGGTCTACTGACTTTTGCAATCTGTTTAACTACAGGAAAAAATCTCAAGAAGCCGCCACCCAAGTCTTACCTTATCCATGCTGGCCTGGAACCCCTGACATTCACCAATATGTTTCCCAGCTGGGAGCACAGAGAGGACATTGCCGAAATCACAGAGATGGTGAGTGCACTTTCCTGGCCTGTGGAGGTGGTCCCCAACTACCCCCCGCTTTTGGATTGTGGTTGACTTTATCTTGGGGAGAAGCATCCAACAGCACTTTCAAAGTGGGAAATACTTTTTCTTTTGCAACATATTAACAAATCTACATAGATTTAGCTTAGGAAGAGGAGAAGCCTAATGGGAATTCAGTTGAACTATTTTGGTAATTTTCTACACCTGGTACTCAAATTTTAAAAACTACAAAGGTGAATTAATTACTTTGAAGATGATATGTAAATACAAGCTGCTGTCTCTTCATTCTGTTAGCTGAACATCTATTCCTTAGCATTACTAGCTTCTCAGGGTCTACATAATGCACAACCAATTCCTTGTGTTTCAGATGGTAACCTTGTGTAGCCGAGACACAAAATAAACAAGGGATGAATTAGTATGTTCCGATAACTAAATGAATGAACATACTGTGTCTCACTCATGGTAAGATCTTGGTCAACATCTCATTAATATTGTCTTTTATGAGACCACCTGGTATTACCACATAAGGCATTTATCATAACTTCTATCTACCAAAATGTATTATTATCCAGAATGTTTTCGTTTCAGCCACACAGAAAAGAAGCTTACTGTAGCTATGTAGACTTTCTTAACTTATGAGTTATTAACATTGCTAGCAACAACAACTCCAAGGGTATTTTTGGTTTGATGGGAGAAAAGCTTTCTTCCTGTTTTGATTTTGTAACTGAGTAGGAGAACTTCTTTTCTGGAAGAAATGACCTGAGTGTATTTTATAGGAAATCCTAGTAATTTTAGCCAAACAGACCAAAAAAGTCTACTGCTGCGTAATAATGGAGAGCACATGTTTAATAGCGCAAACATTGCTGCCCGTCCTAACCTGTCTTCCTTTAACCAAATGCGCTTGATCTACACAGGGAAGGGGCTGATTGCAGCCCAAACTCTGACACAGTCAGAGCAAGGTAGTTCTGTGCGTGATCAGTATGGGATCACAAAACCTAAAAGCTCTAGGAATTATAAGCACCATGGCTGTTTCATGCAGTCTAAGTTCAAAGATGCCAGGCACCATGATTTTTTTTATTCACTATGGACATTGGGCTGTATAATGTGCAGGCCTGTGGGATTTCAGCCAGGGAAGTCAGGCTTCCCACACCTGCACATCACACTAGTAATTAATGTTCACCAAGTGCTCACCTACGCTAGGCACTGCTGCAAGCATGTGACATTTATTTTCTCCTTTAATTATCGCAGAAGTCCATTATGGTCCATCTTATTATTATATCCATTTAACCAGGGTAGAAACTGACACACAAAAACATGGAGTCACTTGCCCCAAGTCTCAGAGTCAGCGAGTGGAGAAGCTATTCTCAGAGGCAGGCAGGCTGTCTCTCTAAAACCCACCTCCTCATAATGCCAGCGGCCAAAAATATATATATGTGTGTGTGTACACATACACACACACACACATCTCACCTCCTGACCACTTGTCTTTCCCATAGATTGCTGACTTTGGCAACAACCCTTAGTCATTTCTTCCCCCCATCCACCCACCCACGAGGAGGGCAGCCAATCTGGGATCTCAAGTTTAATGGAGTAAGATAATTTACCCAGAATAACCTGTCCAGATTAAATGCACATAGTGATTCTTAAAAAAAAGCTTGATTTGGCCCCAGAATGTTCTAGACATATTTTTTTACTCTATTGTGGATTAAGAAATAGGGCCAGAGGGAGGAGAGGGGATGTAATTTATTTTAAGGTTGATTATTTTTAAATATTTTTAAGCCCATTCCATTACTTGGAGGCTTCTTGGTGTTTAGACTTCAAATCCAATGATCTGAGTGCGTAATTTATTCATGGGAGAGTCCCTAAACATTTTTTCAGAGGCAGCCCTGAGACGGGATTTATTTGATCCTTTGTGGTAGGGTGAGAAAACATCTAAAAGTTGGGAGAACTGCAGGGCTTTGGGCATTTTCTTTACATTTCAGAGCCTGTTTCCTCCTCGATGAAGCACAGCTGTGAGAACCTGCCTGTCCAGGCTGTGTGCAGATCAAATAGTCCTGTGTCTTAGCAAGCGCTTGATAAAACATGTTGAAGTGTAGAACACCAAGTTCTCTCTGCTCCCTCCTTCTTTAGGATACGGAAGTTTCGAATCAGATCACCCTGGTGGAAGATGTCTTAGCCAAGCTCTGTAAAACCATTTACCCCCTGGCTGATCTCCTAGCCAGGCCACTCCCAGAAGGAGTTGATCCTCTGAAACTTGAGATTTATCTCACCGATGAAGACTTTGAGGTAAGTGTTTCTTCAGGTGGGAGGGAAATTAAACAGCACGCTTTTCCTATTACTTAGCCGCTGGGCCTTCCTTGCCACTCTTCCAGTTCGCGCTGGACATGACAAGAGACGAATACAACGCGCTGCCCTCCTGGAAGCAGGTGAACCTGAAAAAAGCCAAAGGCCTGTTCTGAAGAAGATGCTGGAGGAAGTTCAGTGGTCACTTTCCATACCAGTGGACCAGGAAAATGGATATTTTTTTGGACTGGTATTTCATTTTAAAAAGTATTTTTAAATCAGAGTTTTCAAAACCTGATGTTACTAACTGTACTGTTTGTCCCAGAGTTGTGTATTTTGTAAATGTTTAAGAGAACTCTTTGGAAACTTTCTTTCCACAGTTCAGCAGGTGATGTGAGCACAAGTATCTGTCATGTGCACTTAAGCAGTGACCCTCAGCAGCTGCTACACCACTGCCCTCTTGTTCCAGCTAGGCGTTACCATGTTTTTGGAAGCAGTTCTCTTTATAAAGTGTTATTTTGATAGTTTGTGGATTCTAAAATATATATATATTTATACAAACACCATATAAGTCAAATATGTATTTAACAAAGCAATATGTATTCATTCACTTTGAAGGTTTTTTTGTTGGTTTTTTTTTTTTTTTTTTTTTTTTTT